CTACTAGGGAAATGAAATTAGTTTTTAATCAACTTTTTTTTACATAATATCTGCTAGCAAAGTCATGAAATAGCTAACCAGATTTGATGAGCCAGCCAAACACATTCGATGTAAGCCCAAACATGAACATTATACAAATAAGCCCAATGGAGAAAAGAAAGTACTCCACTGCATGAAGAGAATCCTCCCTTTTTTAAAAAAATAAAGGGTTCAAGGTTAAGCCATATGGTGACGGGGCGCCACAGCATGATGTCTTAAGTTCTACTCTTAATATCGGTAGAGGATCCGTTCCCACTAAATTATCCCCCAAAACAAAAAATTAAGTCCAAAAATCCATCTAAAAAATAGATGGAAAAGTGTTTCATGTGGGCTAAACCGCATTTCTACATATGCGGTCCATCTAAAAGCAATTGAAACCAACAGTACAAATGTTTTCTTAATAGAATTCTTACTTTCGATTTTCAAAATTTATTTATTTTATCATATTCATGATCTCCATGTCGTCCAAAAATCTGTATCAAAAATAGATTTTTAAGAGATGACTCATTTCTACATGGACTCATAAAAATCAAATCCAAAATAGATTTTTAAGAGACAAACATAGACTCATAAAAACCATGTCCTCATTGGAAAAGTATACAATTATGAACATTTGCCTATGGTACATGGTGATAACAATTAATCTTCACCATTAGATGTGAAATTAAATAGCTACATTTATTCTATTGACCAAGCTCAAGCTTCAAAAGAAATTTTTTCGAATTTTGTGACACATACAAATATCATATTTCTCATCGGATTGTAAGTAATTGTGACCTATTTATTTGAAAGATAAACAGTCTCATTGTGTAGAGTCCCAACCTTAGTATATTTGACAAGAGAAGAGAAATGATCATATAGGATCATCTCCCATCTATTGGTGAGATTTCAAATAATCGTCATTAAATTTGATATAGATTTATAAAAAAATCAAATCTTTTACTCATACCATATTTTTTTTAGATATTCATATCAAATTTAATAATAAACTTTTCAAATCCTAGGTGGAAAAGAGTCCCGCTCATTTGACAAAAGAGAAAAATAATGGATACTTTTTCCCTGGTACGTCCTCGCCCTTACCACCGAACACTGCCGTAACCGCATAGACGAAAAATTTAATGCCCTTGCACGGACGACGAGGTAGAAAGCAACAAAATCCCGAGAAAAATTTAAAGAGAGAGGGAGGACATAGGGTAGTGAGAATAGACAAGGATATCTTCCTAGGGAGACTTATGGTACAACTCACTACGCGTTATACCCTACGCCACTCTCATCATTTTTAACGCTTGTCTCAGTTTCCGAGTAAACAAACAAGCTAGCTGGCTCTACCCACCCCCCCTTTCCCCTTTTGAATTCAAAGATTACACGTCTTAATGCATGCCAGTTCAATCCTTAGACATCCCCTCGCTTCTTCAATATTTTTTTGGATATGGAACCGACGCTCAAAAAAAACAATTAAAGTAAAGCTCAACTTCAAATGGTATGGAAAAAGTTTCGATATTGAAAATCTTTGTGATAGTACTAAAATATATTTTTATTTTTAATTATAAAATTTAAAGTTTTAAAAATAGTAGAGATCGAGCACATTTATGAAAATCTTGAAAATTGATTGTTTGAAACTGCATTATAAAGATGCATAATTTTCAAAACTTTGAATTTTTTTTTTCTCATGAAGTCATCAATTTGAGGTTTTAATGAAATTTTTGACATGGGCTCTAATTTGATTGTTTAGAGCCTCGGCTCTATATAATATTTTTCCATATATATTTCCCTCCCACTATATGAGAAGTGGGTGAGAGGACCGTGTAGAGAGATTCCTAGCTTCGTGGAAGTGGGCGAAGAAAGTAATATATGAGAGACGGGGCGAGGGTTTTTTTGGGAAGTTGGTGAGCAAACAATGAATTTGATAAAGGTTAAAAAGTATATGCCCTAAGGCATTCTAAACTATAAAAAACTCTAGCTTTTGTGTATCCAATGGCCACAACTATATGTGAACACTTAAAATTGGAAATTGGTTTCATAAAGGCTGCAGCAGGCTATAAAAAAAAAAAAAAAAAGTAAAGCTTCACCTCAAAACTCATAAAAAATTGCAATTCAAGTATTGAAAAAAACTGAATCGATCATCTGACTTGAATGCCATGATTTTGGAAAATTTAAGATTTCAAGCTCTAAAAATAGTGTATATTGTATTAATTTATCTACACAATCTATTTCTCTCTAAAAATAAATGTTCAAACAATCAAATTTGAGCCTAGGTCAAAAATTTCACCAGAAAATGTTGTTTTGATGCACAAATATCCTTAAATTGATCATCTCGATATCAAGATACATGGACATGAGAAAAAAAATGGATTTCAAGTTTTGAAAATAGTGTATTTTGTAAGATATTTTTGGACTGTCAATTTTCAAGATTTTCAATTTTTCATATATATGTCGATCTACACTATTTTTTAAGCTTTAAACTTTATAAATAAAAATGAGAATATATTTTAAGACTATCACAAATATTTTCAATATTAAAACTACATTTCTCGGCACTATTTGAAAGTAGGCTCTAATTTGATTGTTTAGAGCCTAAGAACCATACAAACCTCACCCTTTAGAAAATATGGTGTTTGTTTGAAAGAAAGTATGCGACATCAAAAGAGGCTCATTCAATAGACTCATCCCAGCAGCCAATACGACTAACTTTTTGCACCTCCCCCCAATGCCCTTTTTGACCCTCTCGATTCATTTTGGCCCAACCAGGCAAATGTTTGCCTGAATTTGAAAAAGGCCAAGGGATAGAAAACTGTGAGGTGGGTCACCCATTTTCATTACCATATAAGCCAAAAGATTTCCTATTCCAGCTGGAATATACTATTCATTTATTTCTTTTTTTTGGGTAGACCTGTGGGAGTACAGGGCCTTAACCCTTTTTAGAAATAATTAGCTGCTTTCGAATGCCTCAGTGCGAATGAAACCTAGACAGGTAGTGAGGCACCTCAACCCCATTCCCACTATTCATTTATTCCTTGAGCAAAATATACATTAGGAATTTCTTTTAAATCCTGAGATGTAAAACGAAAATGTTTCACTTTCACTCTTCTATATGTGCCTCAAAAAATAGCATCTTAGTATTTCACAATAATGATATAATTTCTAGAGGGAATGATCTAGATGTTCAGAACTCAAAATCTTTTTTTTTCTTTTTCAAAAACAATCATCTAGTTATAATTAGATGGATTCTAACATTTCGAATTAAAAAAATCTCTTAAATAAGTGTTTTTTTGCCGAGGGAATAAATGTGTATAGCACACGCTTAATCCACCGTTTTTAATCCACCGTTAGAGAATCGGTGTGCAGTTGAGGGAGAGGATGAAAATTCAAATAAATGAAATAAAAAAGGAAACTTCCTTTGAAGATAGATATTGAGAGATTTCAGCATTTACCACAAATTTTTTTCTTTTGGTAAGTAAATGTCTCTCTCAAATTTACCACAAATTCAAATTATAGAACCGATTAGCATTAAACTTCAGAGAAACTTATATTCCCATTAGAGAGAGAGTCAATTGCCACCAATTCAATTCATTGAAAAAGTTGTAGTCAATATGTTTGGAATAATAACTTGCTTTACCGAACCTCATAAATGAGACTCTTTCTTCTCACTCTAAAAAAATAAGGTTCTTGCAATACCCCTACGTCCCATCCGTCAACGATGCCACCAAGCAAAAATCGAATCTTAAAGGAGAAAAAGAAGGTCAAGGCAGAAACGCCCTAGTTTTTATCTCGCCCAAAACACCCCTTGGGTTTTAAATTATAGAATTTTTACTTTGGAAAAAGTTTATATAGAGCCGATGCTCTAAAGCCCCCATCAAAATTTTTATTAAAAGAAGTTATTTTGATGCTCAAATATTTTCAATTTGATCGTTTCGACCTCATGATACATGGACATGAGAAAAAAATAAATTTCATGTTTTGAAAATAGTGCATTTCATAAAGCATTTTTGAACCATCAATTTTCAAGGTTTTCATATATTTGCTCGATATACAAGCCACAAACTGCACCCTTTTGCTTTTGCCTCCATAAATTTACAAATTAAGCAATTTCTTTAACTTAGTTACTTGTACATTACCATAATTTACGTATCCTTGTCAATATGCCTGAGGAAATTGTATTGCTATTTCACCTGTGGTAACGAAAATCTTGAATAATCTAGCAAAATTTAGTTGTATAAAATGGGATTTAAATCGGTCTATGGGTAAAGCATAAAATTAATTAAAATATAGAAAATAGCCCAAATCGATTCGGTCCGATTCGAGGGATTTTAAAATCTGGAATTTTATTTGTCCATAATTCAACGGAGTTGCAAAATGAGGTAGAATTGATATACCACGCGTATGCATTCACATTTTTAGGAGATTGACCAAAGATTTCCAACTTTTTAATAGAAAAAATTTAGACGAGCGTGCGTCAACGTTTTGACATGTAGACCAGTCTTCTACAGAGTCCAAAAATAAATACCCCACCCTATTGAATATGGTCGCCGTTTGGGTTGAGCCTAAGCTCTAAACAATCAAATTAAAGCCTACCTTCAAATAGTATAGAGCAATGTAGTTTTAATACTGGAATTCCTTGCGACAGCCTTATAATATATTTTTATCTTTATTTATAAAGTTTAAGCTTCAAAAATAATGTAGATCAATAGATTTATGAAAACTTAAAAATCTTGAAAATTGACGATAAAAAAATAAGTTACAAAATCCATTCTTTCCAAAAGTTGAAATCCATTTCTTTCTTATGTCCATGCATCTTGATGTCGAGATTATGAATTTGAAGATATTTGGGCATCAAAACAACCTCTTTAATTGAAAATTTTTAGGTAAGCTCTAATTTAATTGTTTAGAGCCTCGGCTCTATATAAACTTTTCCCATTGAATTTTCAGCTCTCGCTCCTGACAAAATGCTGAAAAAATTCAAATGAATGAAACTTCATTAATCAAATTTCAAATGAGGGAGGAGATGCCCTGTGAGGGAGGCAGTTTCTCTGCTCCTCTCAAGTGGCTACAAAAATCTAAAAGAATAGAACACCATTACTCAATTTTCAAATGGATAAAGGAAGCGCCTAGGAGATAATCTCTCTCTCTAGTGTCATAGGCCCACACAGTTTCTCGCTGTGGTCACACCTCCATCGACCACAAGATTATGACCGCTGACATACTTGGATTCATCACTAGCCAAGTATAATGCGGCCTCAGCCACATCCTTGGCCCTCAAATTAGCACCCTTCAAATTAGCCAAACCCCTCACAAACTCCTCCATCTTCTCAACATCATCCCCTCTCAGGCACCCCTCCATCTCCACCCCCTCTCTCCAAGCATCAATCAACATAGAAGTGGCCACCCCAAATGGAGAGATGCAATTGACCCGAATCCCATGCTTTCCGAGCTCGCAGGCGGCGTTCTTTGTGAGCCCTACGATGGCGTGCTTCGACGCTGTATAAGAGTGTGGCCCGAGCCCTCCCAACACACCAGCCACGCTCGCTGTCGAGATTATGCACCCACACCCTCGAGGGAGCATGGCCCGAGCCGCGTGCTTCATGCCTAAAGCCACACCTCTTACATTCACGCTCATTACTCTGTCGAATTCGTCTGGGTCGAATTCTAATATGCTTTTTCGGCCTTGAGATTGACTTCCTAGAACTCCTGCATTGTTGAAGAGGATGTCGAGCCTTCCATAACGGGTTAGGGCTCGGTCGATCAGGTTACAGACATCGGATTCTTGGGATACATCGCAGTGCACATAGAGAGCGCCAGGGAGGGAGGCAGCAAGGGCCTCCCCCGAGACATCATTGATGTCTGCGATGACAACTTTGGCGCCATGGCGCGAGAAGAGGCGGGCCGTCGCCTCACCAATTCCCCTTGCGCCTCCGGTGATCACTGCAACTTTGCCCTCAAGCCTGGAGAGATAGAGAGAGAGAGAGAAAATTATTTTTTTGACTGCAATATATCTACCATTTCTCTTTTTAAGAAGCTAATTGCAGAGGATGGGAAAATAAAGGGAAACAGATGAAAGAGAAAAATGGTGAAAGTTTTAACAAACTCCGTATGAATTGGGCCAACAGTTGAGTGATTCATGGCCACCATAACTTCTCTCAGTTGAGTGATTCACGGACACCATAACTTCTCTTTAGAGCGAGAAAGTTTAAGAACCTTTTTAATCTTTTGTTCCAACAAATTCCCATACGATTGGACTCGTTTAAGAAAAGAAAAGCAGCTTTTGAAAGATGATAAATATTAATATTTGATGAAATGTCCAGCAAAAAGTGAAACGTTGGTATTCACAAACCAAAAAGGTTGCAGTCATGTCACTCGGCTCGACAAAATGGACGGAGAAGAGAATAGAGAATGAGAAATAAGAGCAAAAAAGACAGAAAAAGAAGATGGAGAGGGAATAATAGACACAGAATATAGAGAAGCAAGAAAATTGAGGCCATCAGAGAGAGACCAAAGCAAAATTTTCACATAAAGTAAAATGGGAGAAAAGTTTTAAGTACCTTCTCTGAGAGACTCCACCATTATTATCCCAAGAAAGTATCTGCACTGAAGGATGAGCATTTTCAGGCATGATCTCCACTGCCATCTCTCTTTCTGATGAAGAGTGAAAAACACCAAACAAAAATTGAAATGAGACTCGCTCTCTCTTAACTTTGAACAAAGTCACAGGAATATGGAGATGAGAGAGAGGAATGCAGGGTCCAAAGAATTTATAGGCGTTTAGGAGAGGGGTGGGTCCAGTGAACTTTCGGCATAGGTAGTAGGGTCATTCACAAACACCATCCCGGTAAAACCTTCAAAGACCCCATTCACACTTTCCGTCCAAATATTTATCACAATTTACACAAAAGATCAGCTATTAAACATTTTATTCATGGGTTTTGTTATGCTACACTATGGTGGTCTACATCTTCAACATTTTTTAACATTAAAATACTTTTGAATTGTAATACAAAATTTTTTAAATGGACATATTTTTTTGTCATTTAGAAAGATAGAATGGATATTTTTATAAAAAAATAGTGACATTCTATTAGTAGTTAAAAACAATTAATGCATCCATATTCGTGATGTCATTGTCTACTATTGTTAATAAATGTTTTTGCTTTTATTAGAAATTTTTAATTTACTTTTGACTAATTATTTAAAATACTTTTAAATAAAAAGTTTCTATACTATAAGATAAGGGTATCTAAATGTCTAAAAATATTAAGCACTTTAAAGGTCTACATCAAAAATGGTACAGCCTAACAAGACCTATAAAATAATGGGTAATTGTATAAATTTAGTGTATTTTAATAAATTTCCCAAAAAAATTATTTTAGGTGGATACAATGCCCCCTCTGCAGCATGTTTGAGACATTGAACAAATTGATTCATATACAAGGTTGAAGCTTTTTGTGACTTTTTCCTTATGTTTTTTTATTTGTTGCGAAGGGAAGATTTTTTTGTTTGTTTAATAAAACTAGTGGCTAGAACTGGAATTGCTCGGTTTTGCTTGAAACTAGTTGGGAGAAATCGGAGTCTAGGAAGTCCCATAACCTTCCAATTCCCAATTTTCAAATTTACTTCCTTGCCTATTTTAGTCTTTATGGTCTCTGGTTCGGATCTGGGATACTACAACGATCTCTAAGCAACTTCAATGATCTCTTATGTCTCTGCTTTAAGAATAGACTTAAACCTAGGTGCTTAGGGTGGTTTTGGTGCCCTAAAACATTACATCTTGAATTCCATTACTAAGCCCTTTTTCTACTAAACTACCCGTAAAATATATTTTGTAGAAAGGGTAGAAAACTTAGTTTAATTAGTGGCTGATTTCATTAGTATCCTTTTTTTTTTTTGGCATTTTTTTTGGCATGATCTCTCTATCAATGTTCACAAAAGCGGCCAAGTCGACCTGGACGTGCCCCAGATACTCAAACCCACCTACTGGGTGGGTCCTTTTAAGTCTGGTTTTGGGAGAGTTCGAAAATTGTTTTGACCGTCAATGCTCTCTTTTACATTTTCCCTTCTTTTTTTCATTTATTTCTAGAATACCCCCCAGTCAAATTGATTTTTCAAAATCTAATTTTTGTACTACCTTTCTTGACCTTATTTACATGTATTTTGTTCAAATTTTATTTTTTAAATTTTTTTATGTTAAAAACCTTTTAGGCTGACCGGTGCGTGCCCCTCCGGTGTGGGTTACTTGCCTACTTGGCCAGCCCCAAGGCTGCGTAGTGTGCCGAGTCTTCGACTCCTAAATTGATCTCCATCTCCACCAAAATTTATTATTTGTTTGATTTGTTCGTGATTTGATAAATACGGAAAACCAGTTCTATCCATCTCTCTCTCTAATGCCGAATCCTAGAAGAGTCCTACACGAATACGACCGAATCTTTTCAAACATATCCTTTTAGGTAATTAGGGTTTCTCTAACTCTCATTTGGAAACTTAATTTTTTTGATAAATAAGAGTCTTGCAAGGAGACTTCCATATATTTAAGGCTCCAAAGTCTGGCATTTGATATTTATGATAAAAATAAAATGAAGCATAACTTTTGGAGAGACAAAGATTTTGCAAAAACCTTTATAGGAATTATTTATTTGCAAGGCTAGCTAAGCATTTGCTTGACGCTTCTTTTAAAGTAAACAAAAGAGTATTTAAAAGGTGAAAGTTTATATAAGGTTGCAAACTGTAGAACTACGGATGCACCTCAAAAATCCATCAGTAAAGGTTTTTAATGTTAAAAAATCTTTTAATTGATCATCTCTATATCGAGATGTATGACCTTGAAAATAAAAGGATTTTGAGTCTCAAAAATGATGCATCTTAGAACATATTATCTAAACCGTTCATTTTCAAGAGTTTCATATGTCTCTAGATCTGCTTGATTCTTATCATTTTTGGAGTTTAAAGTTTTATAATTAGATTTGAAAATATATTTTGAGATAATCTTAAAAATAATTTATATCAAAATTATATATTATGATAAAATTTGAAGGTGCGTCTTAAATGCATTGTTTAAAGTTGCAACCAACCTTATAGAAACCGCACCCTTTACAAAATAAGAGAAACATTTATGGTTCCCTCTCCGCCGAATCCATATCCATGGAACGAATCGATCATTTATGACGGTAACGCCATTCCAATGTTTGCAAAATCTCTCAGATACCCTTGGTTTTTATATAGTGCTCTAAATGTTCAATAGTCAGTTTTGGCCTTCTTTCATAAAGGGCAAGTTTTCTGTATGACCCCATCAACATATTAGTTATATGTGATACTATTTTTCAGCCATTCAATCTGAACCGACGGCTACAATTGATCATGCTACAATGTCATGCCAAATAGTGTTTTACTTTTTTTTTTTTACAAAACCTTTTAGGATAAAATTTTGTGCGTCCCATCATAAAATTCGGGTGAACTTGGAAAAAATAAAAAAGAAATCTTTTTCATCAAAATAAATAACAAAAATATCTTTAGGGGTATTCTGATCATTTTTCTTTTCGAAAATATTTTACTATTATTTTTATCATTTGCACCCTTAAATGCATGCCCCAAATTTGGCTTCAAAATGATTTATAGAATAAATATTCAAGATAAAAAACTCCAAGTTGTCGGATCAAAGTTGACGGTAAAGAACTAGCTCGTGACATTGTGACACAAGCCATCTCAACTATCTACTCGGATCCGACGGCTGAAATCAAGAGTCACATAAAAAAACTTTCTTTTTTACAAACGCTATTTGGGACATTAAGAATGCAACCGTGAAATCATGTAGTAAGCCTTGGCTCGTTCCTAATTTGTTTCTTTTAAGAAAACTGCTCACTACCCCCGTTGTGCACGGCTCAAACTTGACTAACATGGTCCAAGGTCGATCGGGACCTGATGGGATCTTCATAAATGCGCACCAGAATTGGACTAGTTAAGTGGTTTCACTGGTCAATAATGACAACTTAACCACTAATATGATCTGACTCACTTAATAGCTCCATACTTATTAATTCCGACTTCCGGGTCAAATGTGTGACCCGAAACTGGTAGGGTTTGACATGAGCCTACCTATTATGAAGATTGTCAAACGTAGTGGACAGGGGGTTACAAATGCGCCCAGCCCTTTTGTCACTTTCTTTCGTTTTCATTGAAGAAACAAATGGAGGTATAACGTGGCCATTTATTTACTTGGAGTTGTCGAGGCAACGGAAACAATTAATTTTTTTTAAGTTAGTGGGGATTGGGGCCTTTTTTTTTTTTTTTGTGAGAATGGAGTGAGAGACCTTCTCATAGGAGTCGGCAATATTACCGCCAAGTCCCTAGTGAATGGAGATTACTTCGGCCTTTTTACACAAGGATGCAGTTCTATAAGGCTAGCCTTCATGAAAACAAAGTAAATTTTCACCTCCAACCCTCATTCTAGAACGCACTTTAGGTATCGAAAATCTCCATGATAGCTCTAAAATCAATTTTTAATATTGATTATGAATTTTGAAGCTCAAAAAAAAGTACACATTTAATGGATCTGTCAACACTTATTTTTAGGGCGAAGTGGAGGGTTTAGACGATGTGTTGTAGAACCCAGGCCCATAGAACTTAAAATCAGAATTTCTTTTTGATAAGGTCAATTCCGAAATTTCCAACTCCAAAACTCCGATATTTAGAGAATTTTGAGGTGAGATTTAGGGCTGTAACTCTATCAAAACATTTTCCTTTACACAATGGCATTGAGGCGATAAAGTTTGTGGGATAGTCTTCATATTTCCATCGGAAATCAGGGGATTTAATTTCCGACAAAACAACGTGCAACACCAAGGCCGTAATTGAACTGCTATAAAAACACACACCCAAACAGTGGCAAGTCAATTCAATTGACAAAACGCAACGCCCACGCCCTCTCTGAATCCAGTCCATGACACAGATTTGATAACCTGGGGAAAATGGGCTCCTAAAGTTTGACCTTTGGAGCTCACTAAGTTTTCAACTTTCAATTTTGTGCCTCAAAATTCAGGTGGATTTCGGCTCGCCCAAGATTTGGTCGGTAACCTAAGACAATGTCGGTTTGGGTGCACTATTCGTGGGGAATTTTGCAGGAAAATTATGTGTTTGTTAATGTTGTTTTATTTATTATAAAATAATTTTTTATTGATATGAAAATTGGTCATCACGGTGGTGTTGTTGAAATTCAGACGTCACCCAGCTCAAGGATAAGTTGGAGAGAATCGTATTCGAGAGGTCCGCGGCAGTGGCTTGGGGCTGAGCATCACTATCTTGTGTATAGAGATTGATGATCTTGTATTTATTTGTTATATATGGAAAGTGTGTATTTTATTGGTAGTTACTCATTGTAGTTTATCTTGTTGTGTAAGTTATCTTTAGTTGTATTATATATACATGTTAATAATGATCTATAGAGATAAGTTTTTTCTCTGTCTCTTTGTGTGTTTGACATGGTATCAGAGCAGTCATAATCAGTTCCGTCCACTGTTTGCGTTTGTTTTACCTAAGATTGATTATTCTTTGATTAGTTCCTCGGTTACAGTTCTTGTTCTTGTGAAGGATTGGAGTTCTTTTTTTTATTGTGTTCTTGATCCCTACTTTCATCGGCAAATCAAAGTTCGCTCTTCGCTTGATGCTAATTTTTTTTTTTTTTTTAATGAATCATATATTCCTCTGGCCAATCAGGTTTT